TGATGTTTTCTAATGTTGCAGCTGTCCCCGTGTGTGGGGGTGATGTTTTCTAACAATGCTGTTGTAGCTGCTGTCAAGTTGACCTTGACTCATGGTGATACCAAGCACAATGAAACAAGATGCACCTGGTCCCACACCGTCTCCAGGATCAGTTGTCTGAGCTGGGTTTGCTAGGGAAGCAAAACCAGTGAAGCTTATACAAGTAAGAGAGAGGAAATTTATGTCAAAGAAATGGTTCATGCAGTTGTAGAGGCCAACAAGTCCCAAGTCTGTGGACCAAACATCAAGTTGGAGGCTTCACCAGACTCATACAGCTGCAGGGGCTGACACACTCAAGATTGGCAGGCAATACAGCAGGCTGCTGGCTGCTGAGGCTGACAAATCCGAGACTGGCAGGTAAAATGGCAGATTGTTGGCTCACCGGCTGGGAGGGCAGCAATCGCAAGATTGGCAGGCAACAGGACAGGCCACTGGTTCACGTCTAGGAACCAGAGATGATGATGGGCCAAATGCAGGATCCAAAATGAGTGAAAAGCTAGAGACCTTTCCCTGAGCTTCTGCACATGTACTGCAAGCAGGCCACATCCCAAAGGCAACTCCCCTGCATCGAACTAGCTGCTCACAGCAGATTTCACCATGGAGGTGATTATAACACAACCATTCTCATCATGGGGAATAACTACATCCAGCTGCCAGGCACTCGGAATCATGGCCCAGTCAAGTTGATGTACAACCTTGATTCCCACAGTTGTGGATAGCTGCTATGGAATCTAGGGTTTTCCCTTGGTTGATCTTTGGAAGCTGACCACCAGCCCTTTGCTCCTAGCCCATCCCAGTCTGGAAGGTCAAGTGAAATCTGCTTAGCATCCTGGCAACAGCCTCTGCTGACAGACGGGGGGTGCTGTGTGTGAAGTGCACTGGCCAGGAACTGAAGCTAGGCCTCCTGCAGGGAAGGGCAGAATTCTAGCCCTGACTATGGTGGGCTGTGTTATACAATGAAACATAACGTTGGAAAAGGACACAGGTAACACCCACACTGCTGTCTGCCCTGGACACAGATGAAGGGCCCTGGGGTGGGGGGCAATGTGCTGTCCACACTGCTCCTGACAAATGGGGACACTGTGACAGAGCTGACAGTCCTTTTTGTGTTCGGGCACACATACACCATGCAGCGGGCAGGTTTTGGAGAGTAACGATGTGGTTTTGTGCAAAGGCAACAGAACTGCTATCTCCTGGGTGCGCTGGCTCTCCCCTAGGTGGGCGGGGCCCAGCCGAGTGGCAGGAGCAGCAGATGGCTGTGAACGCCTGTGTCCCCAGTGAGCAGGGATGGAAACAGTTTTGAAGACACACAGCAAAGCCACAGCAGTTTTCAGAGGATAGGTTTGATTGGGGTCATTTCTGCCTCTGTCACGATGATTGGCTGTCTCCCTGATGGGATGGCACCCTTCCCTCCTATCAGAGGCTCGGCTGCTTCCGGGAGAAGCAGGCAGGTGGGATGCGCCCCTCCTGGCACTGGAGGGTTGACAGGATGTGGCTGTCCTGGAGGTGCCCCTGAGGCCAGGCGGGGGGGGCTCTCCGCTGGGCCACAGCCACCTGCCTGCTTGGTCTGCGGGCATGCAGGTCGTGTCCACTCTCTCCCCTGGCACCCACGTGCCTCTGGAGCAGCCCACCAGGAGGGCCAGTGTTGGTGGCTCTCTGTGACCTGCCACGGAGCGCAGCCCCAGGGAAGGCGGGCAGGGACCCAGCAGCGCCCACAGCGCCCCGATGTGGTGAGCTGCACTTTAAGTCCCCAGCTCGCTTTCTTTCCCTTTATAATAAAATTGGGCCTTGAGAAGGTGCTGGGCCTCGTACTCACTCCCTGTGGCTGGGCACTCCATGCCCCAAGACCCCAAGCACAAGGTCAGAGTGATGCCTCAGGAGGCAGGGCTGGACTCACCCTGACCCTTCTAAAGTGTCAGCAGCAAGCAGCAGGCATCTGTTCAGAACAGTATCAGACTCCTGATAGCTCTTTGCTGCGTCAATGAATGAATGAATGAATGAACGGTCACTCAGCTTTGCCCCTGTTGTGATCACCGTATTGACAAAGCACTCAGTGACAAGACACTTGAACTCAAAGGGCCACCCTCATGGAGTGGATGCCTCCTTACCTTGTACCAAAATGGAAGTGGCCACCCACACTGTTTCCAGAAGCATCTGGGGCAGTGGTCCTGACCTGACCACCTCCCAACTCCTGACCCACTACAGCACAGGCTGTTTGCTCAGGCCTCTCATCCGACGACGTCTCGCCCCCTGCCATACCCATGCATCCCCAACACCCACAAGGATGGGTACTCACAGGGTTGCTCCTCATGGCGCCGCCCACCGCGCGCGCTGCTCTCGGGCTGCCCACCAGGGCTGCTAACTGCTGGTAAGAAGACACTTCTCCGACTTTCACAGCCTCCAGCAGCTTCCATAACACCTGCCTGGTGAAGGAGTCTGGAAGAAGGATGCACAATGATGTTCTTCATACTGACAGCTCCAAAAACCCTGCAAGAAGCAGCTTTCAAACAGACAGAGGTTTTAATGCAATTAAAAGCCAGCCTCCGTGTGACCCTTGCCACCACGCTTTGAGTAGGAAGGAGCGTGAGGCCGGGTGGAGCAGCTGGCCCTGTCCGAGGGCTCCTGGCCTGCGTGGCACACTTTAATCTCCTTCTTCTGCATGGCCCACAAGGCATGCCCATGGTGCTTTTCCAGTAAGTGGGGGGCACAGACTAGCACGTGGCTTAGTGAGCAGAGCAGAGCTGTCCCTGCTGTCACTTGTTCCCTACTTCTGCAAGTCTGCTTTCAGCCTCTCGGGGACACAGAAGGGAGGGTGCTACCACGTGGTCATCCACAGGGCCATGAGCAGGAACCCCCAGGAATACTCAGCGTGCCAACGGCACAGCACACACGGTCGGGCAGGGCCTTGGCGACAAGCACTGCTGACAACAGGGCTGAAGAAAGGAAAAGGCCTCATTCTCATTTTAACTCTTACTGCAGGAAGGCAGGCTGGAGGCCGCGGCAAGCCTCTCGCTCTGCCAGTTGGTGGTTTCTTCCTCGGTGGCTATAGGGTCCACAGGGGAGCAGCCCAGGCAGCAGAGGTGCCGGGTGGCTTCCATACTGGTGGTCCGTCCTTCCTGAGGGCCGTGCTCAGCGGTGGCAGCGGCTTCTGAACAGCAGCGGGGAAGGCAAGAATCTGGCGGGCGCCAGAGGTGTCCCAGCATGTCCAGCAGAGCACTCACGACACCCGGGCCAAGCCGCCCAAGAGTGACGTGTACATGGAGGAAACACACCCTGCCACACGTGTCCAACAAGCAAACTCACTTCTTCACGGAAGGGAATGATAATCACTTCACTGGGAAAAAAATCTGTTTAGTCTTTATTATAACATTAAGCAAATTAAACATCAGCATAATCCAGGTGATACTAGGAAAGGGTCATCAAAGAAATTAACTTTGTTGTTCATTAATTTGCATGGATTAGCAGAGGGCAGGGAGACGGCAAATGTGCCCTCGTTTTTTATGATGTAATTTCAAACTGTACACCATTTGTGGCAGAAGGGTGACTTTGGGGTTAATCAGACTGATTTGTCCTTTTAATTGCTTTCTATTCAAAGAAAATTCATTAGATAATGTTCTCTTCAAAATTCATGAATCAATTTAACTGAAGAAACCACATTAACGGCTCTGGGTTCATTAGCGCGTGTGGTTGTGTTCCTGGCTGATTGCTGCCAGGGTCTCCTTAGGCAAACAGGCGCCGTTGACCAAGGCTTCTTCAGAAAGGGCTCTACTTCACACTGCTCATCATTACAACTGCTGCCATGCTATTCTGCCCAACGTAAGCAAAGCAAAGCAAGCCGGGAGCCCGGTGGTAACTTGGAAGAAAGGCAACGCCACGGAGAGCTGCCTGGGAGGGAATAATACAGGCAGCATGCTGCCGCTGGGAGAGGAACGGCCGAGTCCGGCCTTCCGCAGACCACACAGGCGTCCGACCCAGGGAGAGACCTGCCAGGTCTTCTGGACTAGTCCACCATTTTGCTGACCCTGTTGGAACAGGATCAAGGCCTGTGTGCCAGGTGGACAACAGCTCTATCCCATCAGTCAGTGCAGGCCGCAGTGTGTGTCCACAAATGCCACCCAAAACAGAGCATCACCTGTGAAACAACAACGTCCTGTGGAAGAGCACAGAGCTCACCCTACACGTCCAGCGTCACTGTCACCTTGGCACGGGGACCCGTTGCCAACCTGCACACAGCCAGCAGAGCTTTAGGAGACGGCACTTGGTGAAGGTGGGACTTGGCCACCACACACCCCGTTCTGTGCATGTATCTGAAAACTTGACCTTGCCCTGTCGGGAGCAAGTGCAGCATCCCTTCTGGCAGCTCTCTGAGGCGCTGCACAGCCCGCCATCGAACTGTCTCTAGGAGCAGCACCTTCAACCCTGACCTGTGCAGAGGTGGGCGGCCGACCTGTCCTGCTTTCAAGATGGGGGCCAACATTTCAAGTTGTGACTCATCAGTCCAAAATGTAGTAAGAAAATCAGCTCTGAGAAATGAGTGTTCATTTCTGTGGAAGACCCATATTCTTAGGGTGAGGGGACTACCTCACTTCTCAGTGGCTGGACAGCCCCAGGAAGCTGGCATGAAAATGCCACCCTTCCTTCTCCATGAGGGTCCCATTGGAGAGCAGGCACATGGCTCAGCACCACTCTTCCTTCCTATGAGGGTCCCAGTGGACAGCAGGCACGTAGCCCCAGAGCACGCTCTTCCCTTCACCCCATCCTCCTGTCATCTCCTGTTCATAGTCACTCTTGGCCTCTGTTTGGTGGTGAGAGCTCATTTAAGCTGCGTGGCCACAGGGAAAGAGCACCTGGCAGCCTTCATGTGTTTTGGCTCTGGCCTAGGGAAGCCCAGGGGATTTCTTTTAGGGTGGGGAATCTACTCTGTACGATATTGTAATGGTGAGTACATGACAGTGTGCATTCGTCCAAACCCACAGAACTCGACAGCACAAAGAATGAACCATAGCATATGAAATTAAAATACAACATTTAGGAGGTTGGGGGAGCCTGGGAGGGAGTTCAGGAAGTGACAGGACACCCTGGCTGCATGACAGATATAGGAAACACCCTCAGCGAAGGAACTGTGAACAAGCACTGCACTCCAGCTGACAAAGTTGCTTCCCATGGGGGCTAGTAACTCTGATGCTGCTACCAATGAGTGCTATCACTGAGCAAGGAAGTAGCTGGACGATGGACTGTGGGAGCAGGAGTTTACAGATAAGCAAGGGAGGAGGCCAGAACGGTCCATGCAGAAATGGATTAGAGTTGGAGACTGTTGGGGTATGTCAGTAGGAACTCATATTTAGCTTAACATAGAGATGGTTTTGTACAGACATATACACAGGCATGTGTATGTACACAGGTTACTATGCACACATGTTTTTTTTTTCACTCTTCAGCTGCCAGGGTCCAGGATCAACAACACCCCAGGAGCAGCAAGTGTACCTAGTAAGTACCTAGAGTTTGCTTCTTAGGATGATTAAAAAAAAAAAAAAAAACACACACACACACACACACAAGAGGACTCTGGAAGTAAGGATGTGCTCAAAAGGAGAACAACCCCCCTACCTCCCCAGAGAAAGCACAATGATGGGGGGACGGCAAAGACACAAGAGCCGAGGGGAGACATCACCAATGGTCAAAGCTGCAGCAATCTGAACAACCCAATGAAGCAGCAGCGGAGGGTACAAACAATTTAAAGAAATAGTCATGAGGGCACATGGATGTAAGTAAGCGACAGAATAACAACTAAATGGGGAGAAGAGACACACCTCTCAGGCAGAAAAATCCCAAATAATATATGGGGACACGTGCCCTCCAGGAGGGAACACAATCCTCCAGCCTTAAATGTGGACTGAGCAGAGTGACCTCCTCCCAAGCGCACAGAACAAAAGTGGGCAAAAAAGAGTGAGTGGACAGTGGTGAAGCCCGACAAACAACCTAAACCCAGTGATCAAGGTCAATGCCAACGGTGACACATCATATTGATAGTATGTTCTGTTGACATGCTGCGATAAAAATGGCACTTCACCTCTGAGGTCTTCCTCCCCAAAACCAACCAAAACCAAACTCACTGCTGCTGAGTTGGACCTGACTCATAGTGACCCTTCCTTGGGTTTCCTAGGCGGTATCACTACAGAAGCAGATTGTCCAAACTTCCTTCGGAGGAGTGGCTGGTAGGTTTGAACCGCCGGCCTTCTGGTTAGCAGTCAAATGCCTTAGGCACTATACCACTAGAGCTCTTCCTCCCCAAGCTCCAGTCTAATCATGAGAAAAACATTAGACAAATTCCAACAGAGGAACAGTCTACAAAATGCCTGACCTCAAAACTGTCAAGGTCATCAAAAACAAGGGAAGTCGCAGAAAATGTTCACAGCCACAAGGAGCCTGAGGGGACTTGGCAACTAAATGTGATGTGGGGTCCTGGGTGGGGTCCTGGGATGGAAAATTGACTTCAGGTAAAAGCTGAGGCAATCTGAACAAGGTGTGGACTTCAATTAATGATCAGATATCAATACTGGTCGTGTAATGGTAACAAATACACTCATGTAAGATGTCAAACTAAAGAAAACTAGGTGTGGGGTATATGGGAACTACCCTTTTTTTTTTTTGGTCACCCTAAAACTGTTCTGAGAAAGAACGTCTATTAGGAAATGAATAAATATCATACATTATATGAACAGCCAAATGAAGGAAAACAGGATTTTATCAATTAAGGCAGAAAAACATCAACAAACTCCAATATCCATTCATGATTGAAAACTCTTCGCAAACTAGGAACAGAAAGTAACATCCTAAACAAATAAAATAAATGCACCCATAGCTCTGGTGGTGTAGTGTCTAAGGCATCTGCCAGCCAGAAGGCTGGCAGTTCAAACCCACCAGCCACTCCTTGAAAGGAAGGTTGGGCAATCTACTTCCACAGAGATACCGCCTTGGAAACCCCAAGAGGGGTCGCTATGAGTCAGGTCCGACTCAATGGCAGTGGGTTTGGTTTGGTTTTTGAGTATAGTTCACATCGTACTTAATGGTGAAAAGTAAATGCTTTTCCCTCAAGATTGGGAACAAAGCAAGAAGACTGACTCCTACATCATTGTGGAAGTCCTAGAGATTGCAGTAAAGCAAGTAGAAGAAATATATTCAGATATTTTGGACAGGAAGGAAGGGAGGGAGGGAGGGAGGGAGAGAGGAAGGAAGGAAGGAAGAAAGGAAGGAAGGAAGGAAGGAAGGAAAGAAGTAAGGAAGGAAAGAAGTAAGGAAGAAAGGAGGGAAGCTGTCCCTATTCACAGACAACATGATTGTATATGGAAAACACACAGGAATCTATAAAAATGTCTGAGAACTGATAAGTGAGTTTAAGAAGGTCACTAGAGAAAGTCAACACAAAAAAATCAATCATATTTCTATATGCTATTCGTAATTGTTGTTAGGTGTGAGTGAGTCATCTCTGACACACAGCGACCTTATGTACAACAGAACGAAACACTGCCTGGTCCTGCGCCAGCCTCACAATCCTTGCTATACCTGAGCCCATCGCGGCAGCCACTGTGTCAATCCACCTTGTTGAGGGCCTTTCCCTTTTTTCTTGACCTTCCATTTCACCATGCATGATATCCTTCTCCAGAGAATGGTTCCTTCTGACAACATGACCAAAATAGGTGAGACAAAGTCTGGCCATTCTTGCTTCCAAGGAGCATTCTGGCTGCACTTCCTCCAGGACAGATTTGTTAGTTCTTTTAGCAGTCCATGGTACTTTCAGTATCCTTTGCCAACACCATAACTCAAAAGCATCCACTCTTCTTTGGTCTTCCTTACTCACTGTGCAGCTCTCACATTTATTGAGGTGATTGAAAATACCATGGCTTGGGTTAGGCACACCTTAGTCTTCAAGGAGACATCTTTGCTCTTCAGCACTTGAAAGGGGTCTTTTGCAGCAGATTTGCCCAATGCAATACATTGTCTGATGTCTTGACTGCTGCTTCCATGGTGTTAATTGTAGAAATAAGTAAGATGAAGTCTTTGACAACTTCAATCTTTTCTCCATTTATCGTGATGCAGCTTATTGGTCCAGTTGTGAGGACTTTTCTTTATTTTAAGGTGGTGTGGTGC